GATATTTGAAGACAGCTATCATGTCCCTCTCAACCTTCTCTTCTGCAAGCTAAACATGCCTAGATCTTTCAACTATTCCTGTAGGATTTGCTTTCTAGTTCTTCTACCATCTTTTTAGTCCTTCTCTGACTTATTCCAGTTTATCAATGTCCTTTTTAAACTAGGGTATGCAGAACTGAATACAACTGAGCCCTGACCAAGGCAACGTAGAGCAGAATAATTACTTCCCACGACCTGGATGCTATGCTCCTCTTGATGATCCTCAAGATACCATTGGCCTTCTTTGCATCTGCATTACACTGTTGGGACATGTTGAGTTTGTGATCCACTAGTACACCCAAGTCATTCCCACGTGTGCTGCTCGAGTCAGATTTTCCCCATCCTGTACATGTTTCTTTTGTTTTCCTTACCTAGATGTAGGACTTTACATTTCTCCCTGTTAAATTTTATTCTATTGTTTCCACCCACTGTTCTAGCCTAAGTCTTTTGGAATTTTTTCCCCTTTCCTTCCCAGTATTAAACACCTCATCCTATCCATGGCTTGATGAAAGAGCCAGGTCTTCTCTTGACCTCAGCATTTCTTTTGGTTGAGCCATTATGGTGTTTGTGTGTGGCCTGAGCCTAACAAAGCTATAACTATATTTCGTTGACCCAAAAAGAGTTGATGGCCAGTAATCCTTTGGTCATTACAATAAGAGAAAATAGCCAATTATGGTTGGAGAGTATTCCTGTAGCTTCATTCAAAGGTCAAAGAAGAACACTAACTCATGCTGTTCCTTTTTTAGTCAACATTTGATTTTGCTCTTTAAGAGATCCTATAAAAATATAAGTCCCCTTGAACTTAACAGGGATAGGGTACAGAGATTTGTTGTAGTGATATGAACACTTCATCATATGCTCAGCCATACATGTGCGTGTAAATAAACAGTATCACAGAAACACTAACAGACTCCAGTGATCTTCCAGATTAGTCAAGCAGGCATTCTCTGTTATAGCACCTGCCCTTTCAAAACCATACCCCACCCCCAATCCTGTTGGCATTTCATAACTGTTTGAAAACCAGGATGTTCCCCCAACCCTATAGTTTGGATGAACTCATCTTTGAGGTATTTCTTGACGTGATTGTGATTATGTGTTTGATTGCCCTTGGGTGCCATTGTGCTATTCTTGTATTATTCTTGTTTACTGTTATTATATATTATGTTTGTTCTGTTGGTTTTAATCCTAAATTCACCACACAGAGTCATAATTTGCAAGATGGGCAGCTCTATAAATTGAAATAATAAATAATAATAAAATAAATAAATAAGTCTTGTGCATGTCATGGCATCTCTGAAACTTCTCATAGCTTAGATGCGGAGTTCATGTACATAACAGCATTCAAAGCAAACTCATAATTCAAAGTAATAACAAAATCAGTTTGTAGCTGAAACTTGCCCCTCTTTATAAAGCACTAAGTATTATCCTCAAAGCCTCTCTGTGTTCTCATACACATAGCTCCAGTCACATTGTAAATTCTTGCATTCAACCCCCTGGAGCACTTATGGGAATTCATCATGAGGAAGTGCAAGTGATTGCAAATAAGCCCCAAGAGACACAATTGCTTGTGGCTGAACTGCAAGGCTTCAAAATGTAGGTGGAAGTTGAATGTCTGAACTGCCTTGTAAAAAAAAACCCTCCTCAGCAGTAAAAATTAGTATGTGAAAACATTACACCAAAAACTCTTTGTCTGACATCAAACTCTAGTCTATGTGTCCATAAACATGCTGTTTAATGAAGATGTATATGAGATAACATAGACCTTCATAAAATCAGAACAAGTTGATGAAACTCATAAGGAAACTCTCCAATAGAAGAAGAAAAGGATCAGATCCTTCTAGATATTCACTGAACAAAACTATTCTGGTTGCTAAACTCTATTAACTATGTTTTTCCTGACAGATTATCTTCATTTGAACAAATGTCATTCTGGATAGAAATAATTAATATAAATGTCTGAACTGTTTCTATTTCTTAAGATCACATAGGTAATCCTAACTGTGTGGGACATAGTCCCAGATTTCTTTTACTTTGGTTCTTTTTTATTATTTTGTTTCTTTCCCTTTTTGGTTCTGTATATGTAATCTGCTTCTTGATGGTGTGTTCTCTTTAAAAAGCAAATAAAACTGAGGGAGCAGTTGGAAGCTCTTTCTTTAACCTGCCAATGCAGATACATTTCTGAACAGAACCCATCAGATACTCCCCACACTTTAAACAAAACAGCTTGGCTTACAATCTGAATCGGCATTCTTTCACTTTGGGGTCATTCAATAATGCAGCCGGGGAATTTCTTTGGCCACTCAGGGATAGAGGCGAATAGTTCATTCAAGCAGCGGAAACACAAGTGGAAGAAACCTCAGGCATCAACAGATTTAACCAGTGCCCTGACACTCCTTTTCCCTCATGCTTCCTGCCCCTTCACTGCAACATACCCTATTTTTGGCATAAGAGTACAGGTAGAGCAACTTGCATACCCCCACATGTTGTAATCCAACAGCTCCAGCAAGCATGCACAGTGCTTAGTGGTGATGCAGGCAACTGGAGCCAAACAACTGGAGGATGAGTTGATGGCCCCTGTCAAAGTGGAACCAACCTCTGGCTATTTCAAAAGAAACTACCAGATTTTTTAAACATAACAATTGGCTTCAGGCAAACCATTCTCCATCCCACTTAATGGACTTCCCTGCCCACTTCTTTCACTCCTGTTTTTATTCCTTCCAAACTGTCAGTTTCAACCAATTCCACCCAGCAATTAATTCCAAGACGCTGCCGGTTAAAAATAATAAACAAATCCCACCACAAATAAATAAGAATGGCTGATCGAGTGAGCAGGAACTATCTGCATGGTGAGACTGGGACCACATCATAGATGGAAAGAAAGACGAAACGAAGCGCCACGCAACTATGATGACAAGGGGGCCCATCTCGCCAAATGGGAACGAGTTGAAGCACAGAACATCTGAATGGGGGCGGGGAGGCGGATAGTGCCATAACCTACCGGGAGAGATGGATCTTCAGGCCCGGACAGAAGAGCAAGTTTTAGGAAGGAGAAATAGGCCAGGAAGGGCGCAACGCGAAAAATCTCAGCGGGACGGGCATCTGACCAGGACAAAAAAAAAAAAGCGGGGGGGGGGGACAGAAGGACGCAGAAGCGGAGCACTCTCTCACTTCCTCCTCCTCTACTAGCCCGATTTTGAGATCACATCCCTCCTCCGCGCTCCCTTGCTTACCGGAGTAGCGGGCCGATTCCGGCCACCTTTCCTGCGGGCTCGGATTCTGGACGCCTTGCAACCCGCCATGCCGGGCCGAGCAGCGGCGGCAGTGCCCCTCACCGGCCTCTAGGGCAGGGGTCGATCACCAATCACACAACAAGGCGGACCTTCTAACGACCAATGGGGGAAGGCGAGGGGCACTCTTCACTACAAGCCCCACAGCTGTGGGAGAGCGGTGGGATTCACGCTGCCCAATCAGACACAAGAAGGGCTCTCACCCACTCAAGCGTACCAAGAAGAAGGCGCGCAACTGTCCAATCAATGGAGGCAAGGAGCGGAGGGGGCTACAGAACGTCCAATCAGTTCGGCCACATTTTCTCTCCCCCTCCGCTCACTTCAGTCTTGGACGGGGCACTAGAAATCTTCTTTAGCCAATTGCGACATAGCGAAGGAGGACGGTTGTTCCCGGCATAGTTTGGAATGGTCAGGAGGGCATAAATAAGGAAAGCAATCTCAGACACTGAAAGGGGAAGAAAGGGCCCGATCTTAACCTATCTGCCCCAAATGTACATTGTTACTGCTGCTACCCTCTAGAGGAAAAGATATAATTTAAATGCGGTAACTAGTGTAGATTTGTGGCATATCGCGAGGCGCCATTGGCATCCCTCCATCTTCAAGGTCAAATTGACCTTAGTAGCTTTATTAGAACAATGTGCTTACCCGTTTTAATAACCATGGTTTAGTCAGTTAACCACTCCGTCTGGATTTTGCTGATTACATTGTGGTTGTTAATTTATGGCTTAGTGTTTTCTGCAAACTCAACCAGTACACCATGAGGATCCAGAAGGCTTGACTACCCATCTATAAGAAGCCTGTCATGCAAATACAGCCACTGTCTTGCTTCAATCATCAAAGAGGGTTTGCCCCAGGATAGGAACCCCAGAAGAAGGCTTCACAGCAGACCAGCAAACCAGTCCAGAAGCACTCTGAAACAATTCTTTCTAACAGGAGGAGCAAGAATAATCTCCCAGTGCAGAAAACCAAGCCAAGGACTGGAAGGACAAGTGTGGGATTGGGGTAATAAATTCCTACAGCAGAGGGGCGAGCCAAGGAGTAACACAGCCCTCCCAGTAGAACGGCAGGTCAGAGCAGAACGGTGTCTCTGGCAAGGAGAACTAGGAGGCTGGGGGTTGCAATGGCTGCTTGGGGACTAGGAAGTGGTATTCCAGGACTAGGAACTGAAAAGACAACCACTGGTCACGAAGCAACTGATAGGGGGCTGGCAGCAGAACCATCGATACAGACCTACCCCTGAGGGCTTGAAAGAGCAGCTCTGGGATCACTGATGTCATACAGATACCCCGACTCATAAAACGATTTAAAGAAGTATCAGCACTTTAATTTTAGTTTTTTCCATCTCCACCCTCTTGGCCCACCAAATTGCTTGATATGATTGTCACATCTTTGAAAAGACATTGTCAGGCTCCAGATTTACTATTTAATAGTAACCATAAACGTTCTTCCTTTAAGTCCTTTAATATGCCTTGCACATTAGATATTCTGCATCTTTTTCTCCCCGATGTAGTTCATACTTTAAGAAACTTAAAAAATAACAGAGTAGAAAGTGTACATATATCTGGGACGGGATACACAAAATAACAGTAAAGCAATGGTTTAAACTAACGTAGCAGAAAAGGCAACATAGCGTGTTTCACTCCCCTTCCTTTTAGCATCCATTCCACGCTTTACCTGTGGCTTGCACTGATTCCGTGGCCCCGGGTCGTATCAATAGGCATTCTATACACCCGTGATTTTGGACACATTCTCATTCTTTCCAGGGGCGGCGTCCTCCTCCGTTTTTGCAGGTCCCACTTCAAACGAGCCATAGAGATGCTGGGGAATCGGGCGCGTCGCTTCCCATCTCATATAAATGGCTGCATTCTCTCTGATTCTTCCAAACCTCCTTTTGCTCTCGCAGTGCTTCCCCACCATGTTACACGGGGTCATTTTTATTGATTTACCCGATCTGGAAATGCAAAACCAGCTCCGCGAAGAAAGCCAGTACGGCTGAGTTAAGGCGGCGTCAAGACACAGCAGCGGAACTTACGTTGAGGAAAGCTCGCAAGCGGTTAGTCCTCTCCGAGCAAAACCGCTTCCCAGGAAAGACGGAGGCGCTGTCGTGGTCGGAACGTACAAGAAGAGAACATGCAAAGAGAAATTTGCAGAGGCAATCTTTTTCAGTCCCTGCGTGGATGTAGCAACATTATTCGTTCTTAGAGCAAAAGATTGCCAGCTGCAGATATCAGCAATACAATTCTATAGGAAGAAAAAGGCTGCCGTCGACGTTAAGATACGAAAATTGGAACTGCCTCATAATAAGTCTTGATTAGGGCTATGAAGTGATCGGGATTCAAGGCGGAGGTGGATGCGCATATCACTCCTGTTGGCAGCTTCTTGAAAAAAGCTGCATCTCAAAAAAAGCACATTTGATTGATTATGGTTTGTGAGCTGAACCACTGTGGTCGATTCAGCAGACTTAGATTAACCCTGACCTAATGCACGTGTACACCAAATTACTGACTGGGTTGGGGTGAACATGTGCCTGTATGAGGCACCTGTATGGGTTCATATCACTCTTGCCCCACAACTCAGAAGGTCTGTTCTTGACAATGGTGCTGTGTCAGAAGAATATGGAGGGCACCCTAAGAACAACAGTGCTGGCTCACACATTTGGAAGTAATCAGTGGAACATACATTACCATCTTAGGAGGAAGACCTATGTAAGGTAATTCCATTCAGATTTTAAAGCAGCCTCCCTCAACCTGGTGTCCCAGGTATTCTGCTAATATAGTTGGCCACACTCAGTGGGATCCTGAGAGCTGTGGGTGCCGTGTATCTGGAAAACACTGGGGAATAGAAAAGATAGGTGGTAAGTTGAGCCTTCTGACTACAACATTGATTGTCTTGTTTCTAGAAGGATTTCCAGCATATCCTCTTTTGCCCCCTTCACATTGCCTGCAAAAGTGCATTGATAGGCCCAGCCATGTTACAATGTTTCCTTGTGGAATGTCCCATTCTGGAGCTGTGGCTGTTTTGTCTCTCTCTTATCCTCAGATCTCTCCTTTTACTACCACGAAATAGGAGTAGAGTCAAGAAAACAATTCTGGGTTTTGTAGTATCACCATCTGATCTGTCAAATACTGTTTATTGTCAACAGTAACACAGTAAAATAATTATAATATTTTTTAGAGTACCTATTTAAATTACCTGCTGTATATAAACTGGTGTCGGAAGATAAGTACCACAAAGAAAGATAGACACAAAGAATGAACGTTCTCTCAGTTAAAAGGTTGAAAAAGTGCAGGTCCCTTTTCATCTTGTGCGATACTACAGAGCATGTTGAAGTCTTCCTCAACTTACAAGGAATGCATAGTTCTGCCAGGGTGGCATCTAAAAATAACAGTATCAGTCAGAACTTATCCTTTGCTCTGATTTTGCTTGGTTTCCTTGCGTGTTCTCTGAAAACTTCCTGGGACTGAATAAACCCAACATGTCTGCAGCAATAAAAATTCTTAACAAGACTTGCTTCATAATAAATAAGCATAAAATCATAGAATAAATGTCTTCATTGCTAAAGCACAGAAACTAGTTTTCTGTTAAAAGAAAAGAGATTATAAAAGAACAGATTATAAAAAAGAAATATACAATCCAAGAGAATTAAAACGTGAAATACTAAATGGCACTATTAAATCATGGTGATAATAGCTGTTTTAAAAAATAGATTTAAAAGCAACAAGCCATAGCAAAGGCATGGATAATTAAATAAGACATTTTAAAAAGACAACAGCTGGTATATATCCAAACTAATAAAAGGCATTCTTGCCTGCCATTAATTTGGGCATCTAGGGAGGAAGAGATACATGCAAACTGCATCCCAACTGTGGGAGGGGGCAATTATATTCAGACATTATTGCATCACTTTCTTATAAGAATTAGGATCTAGCTCTTTCACTCCAGATACTGATTTAACACCAGTATAAAGCTTTCTTTGGTTGAAAAGCAAAGATGAGGTGTGTATGATCAGTATAATGGTAACACTTCAGACTCAATCCAAGCCTTTGGATGACTTCACCCAGCAGTTTTAAACTGACAACAATTAAGTATCAACTTTATGAGAACTGAGATTAGGCATGTATGGAAGCCATGAAGAACAATGCCTTGTAGCCTCATGTCTGCAAGGTGAGTCAGAAGGATATTTGCTACAGGTGCTTCAGGCACTCTTTTCAGTTTTACATTGTGAAGTTGTTTGTGTCTCCCCTTCAGTTTGAACTGCATCTTTTTCTATTTTAGGTTCAGACTGACCTAGGAAAGAAAATCCTAGTCTTGCAAGCAGCTGACCTAAATTTAGGATTGATCTGGCTGTGATAAGTCGAGACTTTTTGCCCCAGCTGCTGAGTTTAACACATTTCTTGTGATTAAACAAATTATCCATTTTAACTAGGTTGGATTGTCAGTAGTTTGACTTTAGATCTGCAGCTCCCTTGAGAAATTTTTGCACCTCATTAAGTAACTATAAGACCAGCAAAGTGAAAATATGTTTATTTGCAAAAAAAGAAAAAATGCTGTGTTTTGATGAACGTGGTAGTGTGTCTTTTCTACTGCTATGCCTTAACAATGTTTTTAATTTACTTTTTCTATCATCTTGAGAAATCACAAGGATCTTTTAGATCTCAGTAGTGGCCAAAATGTTCAGTGGCTAAATGCTGGCATTAATAGCAATTTTCATGACTAAAATATTAATTCAACCCAGTTACTGAGAAGAGAAATTGTTAACAGCTTCTGATTATCTTAACAAAGATAAGAGAGAGGAAAGTCTCCCAAGAAGTAGTATTCCTGAACAGGACCTTATAGAAATTCACAGCAAGTAACAAATTCTGTCTGATCTTAGTTGATCATAAAAAGGATTGGACCTGGTTAGTACTTGGATAGGAGATTATAATAAAAACCCAGGGCTATAGGCTAGATTGAGAAGGCAGCAATGGCAAACACTTTCTGTCTTTAAAATCAATTTTTTACTTTTTTATAAAAAAAAGCCAAAGGGATACTCTGTCAGAAATACACCAACTTAAGTGGATGGGAAAAGCTATTGCTTTGCATAGAATTCTTGTCTCCACTGAGGGTGTATAAAGTTAGTTGAACAATATCTTTTGAATAGGTAATAGCCTTTTTCAAAAACCTCTGTCAAGCCTAAGCCATCTTCTATGTGAGCCAAAAAAAAAAAAA